CAGAAAATGGGCTAAAAGTGTTAAAAACCGGAATTTTCCTTTAATTCACCTCTGCCAACTGGTCTCTGCATTTGGGTCCTCCTAACAAACACCGCTTCATGACACAAGATGTCAATTTTTCACCAGCATTGTACTTTCACTTTTAAATGTCTGCATTATTTTTATATGTGAAGAATTGCCTGGCTTTCCTGATGCCCTATTTAAAACCTCATGTGTTTAATTTCATTGTTCTTTTTCCCTGCATGGTCATAAAGCCCAAAGCGACTCCAGATGTCCTTGTTTAAAAAACTTGGTGTGATTTATAATTAGGTTTTTAATGTCTGCCAAGTTCTGTATCATCCACCATTGGCATTAGTATGACAATAAACTTACACAACGTCATGTTTTGGTTGCATCACACCTGTTAAAGCAGCCTCCCTGTCTTTTTCCTGGTGGAAAACCTCAAATAAGCAATTGTTTATGATGATTTATTTTTGGACAGCAAACATGTTGCTGGATAACTATTTAGGTCTGTGTTAATGATGCTTAAAAAAAATCAAGACTTATCAACCCAGTACTATTGATACAACTACACTGGAATCCGCTTATAAGGGTCACGTTGGTCCAGAGCCAATTTGAACACTTTAAGCGGTTGACTATTAAAACCGAATTTACCTTTATTTCACTTATTTTTTTATGCAGAATATCATCTAAATGCCATTTGTACGGAAAATGAAATGAAACGGATAGCTTTCCCGCATTTACTGAAATTTATTACAGTGCCATGCAACTTTAATTACAGTATACTGCGCTGTGCGCAGACATACCTCTGCTAGCCTACGTAACTTATTATGTGCTGTGCGTCGGCTCTGCTGTGCCGCTGGCGCATTTTTTTTAAACAAGTCTGAAAATAAAGTTTGAAACAAATGCTTAATCACAGCACGGTACTGCGCAGTGTGCGGACATAACTCTGATAGCCTACAGTAGGCCTATTAGGGGTGGAACGGTTCACAAAATCCACAGTTCAGTTCGGTTCACGGTTTCATGGTCACGGTTTTCGGTTCGGTTCGGTATATGTTGATTGTTAGGAAAATCTATAAGCTGAGATGTTGGTCATGTTGCTGTAAGCATAAACAACACGTTTTGCACAACGCTTGCACACTGTTGCACTTTTATCCACAACTTTCTTTCCGCCGTCATCGTAGGTCACTCTAAATGCAAAGTGGTCCCATACAGCAGACCTATAAAGTGCTGCTGGCGCGTCATCCAACTCCTGTTCTTTTTCACTCGCCATACCCACACAGTTCTCCACAACAACCGATTTTTTTCTGCTACACCCGGCTACGCTGCTTCACTTCTTCTTCTTGTTTATTACTGGTGGTTGGCTTTGGTCGCAGTACCGCCACCTTCTGCTCTGGAGTGGTACACGCTTCGCCTATGAGAAAAAGGAGCAGCGCATGAACCAAACGCAACACACGCGAATCGAACCAAGACAGTCGAACCGAACTGTTCGGACAGTTTTCATAAACCGTTCCATCCCTAGGACCTATGTAACTTATTCTGTGCGTCGGCTCTGCTGTGCCGCCGGTGCACGTCTAACATCTCAGCTCTGGAAGGGACAACAGTCTCCTCTTCTTCATCCTCCTCGCCCTCCTCACTGCACTGGTACCCGCACCAAAGCACTCTTGTACCTCCGAGATGTAATTTTAAAGTAATTTTCACACATGTTAACATTCATAAAATGACCAAAAATAAACACTATAAGCGGATTTTCTATAAACAAATTATTTAAATAGCCTTTGTATAGAAATGATTCTGTCCAAAGCCTTTTGATCTATATAGTAATCTATTGATTACTATATCCATGAACCTCTATAAGTGGATTCCACTGTATATAAATCTTTACTCAAAGTACATTGAGTAAAAAAGGCCTAAAATGGGATGTTTTATAGAGACAGTGTTGAACCATAAATGTACCTGGGGGTGAGGCAGCACCTCCGTTCAGTTTGGGGCTGAAGGGAGAGGGCGGTTCAGCTGCAGTCATGGGGCTGTTGTCATTGATCAACTCAACGCCGCTGTCGTTCTCCATTGGGCTTTCTGCAACAAGGGGCGTGGCTCCATTCACTGCTGCCTGAGGATAAAACATCATGTGTTCATGAACGTTATATAGCAGTGACACCTAGAGGAGGGGAGGGGTGAGGTGGAAAGACTGTTAACATGTTTTTCACATCAGCCAAATAAAAAAACCTTATTATTAATCAAGGGGACACTTAACCTGGCATAAGCCGGATCGATACAATGTAGAATTTAAATGGACCTACGCATATGAATCTGGGACATTCAGTACAATTCTTCGAGCTCATTGGGTACCTTCCTTCCATGAGTTTTTTTAGCCAATCACAGCAACAGTAGCAGCTTTATTTGTTTTGCCACTAGTGGAGTAACTGTTAAATCAAACTCTTACCAAATACAGTCAGTGGGAACATACAACCACCTTCCTACCCACCAAGGCAAAAGCTGTGTCCTTTTGCTCGTTTAAAAAACATCTGACGTGTTGTCATACACGTCACTGCATTTCACTGGTCAAAAATATTTCTGTATCTGTTGTCTCCTAGAAAGATTTGTTTTTGGGAGTTTGTGAATATTGAGTTTGTGAATACTTGCTTGCAGGTAAGGGGGCACCAAACACAGCTGTTGGAGACAGAACTCTTGTTAAACATGTGTTTTGCAGTTTGCGTCGGTTATTTAAAACAGTACTCATCAACAAATGGGGAGGTTTTTAGAATGAAACCACCATTCCTTGTAGATATAGTTACTTGGAACAGTGAGGGGCCAAGTGGGCTTCTACACCGGTAGCTACCTCTGGTTACATATAACGGTCCTTCAATGAAATTATTTTGCTCCACCTTGATAAGAATTTATATAACAAGACGTAACAGGAAACAGGGTAGTGCACATGATGAGTAAAGTGTGAACAGCCCTAAACCAAGCAATTTTATAACACAATGGAGCTGCAGAGATCAGTGGGCAAGGTTGGAAGACTGATGACAGAACAATTTCTAGTGTCATCTTAAAATCTTCAAATCCCCCTAAGGATAAAAGGCCTAAGAAAGCAGCTCTACATGAGTCAGTGGAACAATGATCTTTACTCGGGGCGTTGGTCCTGCTGTAAAATGTATAGTTTATGTAGCAAAAAAAAACTAAATCCGACACCCAACTCTGTACTTCAGCCAAAGTACAGGCAGCTTATAAAGCATTGACGTTGTTTCCATCTGATTCAACAATTTAGACATCACGCAAAAAATACATGACAGTATAAATATTTATTTGAAAAAAGTGAAAGCGAGTGAGTCATTTATTTAAAGTGTGCTTGTTTGTTGAGAGGATAACTAGAACATAGTTCTGAGGGTACTCATCAAAACTTCAATGCTGTTTAAATAATTTTCTCCTACCTGAAAGATTGTTTATGTAGCTCTGTTCAGTCCTGTTAACCCTTTATAGGTTGAGTTACCATTTTTGATCACTTGCATACCCCTTACAAATGGACTGCCATTTCTTTTACTCTCAAGAGTGTTTTTCATGAATTTCTTAATAGTTATTTTTCTTAATATATACGGGCAAGTTGGCATTTCTTGTTATTACATTGACATTCATTTATGCCATCAAAATATACATCTTTTTTAATGTTACAAAGGTAATAAGGTCTTGTCCTGGATTCCAATAATACACTACAAAAAGTTATTTATAAATTTGTGAAAATGTTTTAAAGTAAGTGTATTTACCCTTAAACTGAGTAGGTAAATAAGAAAATCTCCCAGTTGAAGGAGCATTTTTATCCTTAAAATCAGATTATTTGATATTATGCACTTGAAATAGGAGACTGCATTTTCCCCCCTTATTTTAAATGTTAATTTTCTTATTCCATTTGCAAAGTATCTCACTTACCTGCTCAGTTCAACAAAAAATGCACTTATTGATGCACTTATTTTAAGAAAAACTGACTTACTTAGATTTCAGTTTCTTGCAGTGTACTCTTTGCTTGAAATTTAGATGTTTAAAGTCGTTCACTGAATGCCCTATAAAGGGTTAAAACCCAACCCAAGCATTGCTTAGACCTTTGACTGCCTGCATGCACAGAGCAGCAAGGAAAAGAATATAACATTTGGGACATCTGTCAAGGTTATTTTGGGGCCTCTTCAGTACAACATCCTACTTGTATTTAAAAAGGTTCCCACAACTTGGCAACCATCAAAGACTTTTTAAGGACTTCTGAGGACCAGTTCTATCAAATTTAAGGACCAGGAACAATGGCATTTTTGTACTTTTATGACTGAATGTTACTAACAAATTTTACTACAATGCAAGACACAAAAATTGTGGGATTAGAATTGATAAAAAAGTGGATGAATACATAGCGCACATTGAAACTGATAATACTCATAGCCTGCTTTAACGTCCTCAATACATGGACATGTCTAGTGGTGCCAAGATGAGGATTTGATTAAAGGTGGATAGCTGTGGTCCAGGAATTAAAAACCCTGCCTAGTTTTCCTTTATCCTATTTAAGGTGATAAACCTGTGTTATAGAGCTGGAAATGCAAATGACTGGAATTAATTTCTGTATTTCTTTCTAGCAGACAACAGATACAGAAATGTTTTGACAAGTGAAATGCAATGACGTATATATATATA